ACAAGAATAATATGAACAGTTCTATTGATCAAAGCAAGCATAATCGGGCGTTGAAAATAAAACAAGTAGAGGCGACAGAACAGACAAAAAATGTTGACGATCGCAGATTTTTTCCAAAATTTGGAAAAATCTGTATACTCGTAATTTCTCAAAAAAAAAGGTCTTCAATCATTTGTATTCAATTCAATTCCGTTCATGCTATAAAATGCACAAATACAAAATTTTATCCTGAATTACAAATATACCTCTTGATGGTATAATTTCAATTAGAAAGATCACATAGCATCCACTAAAAACAGCTTTTAACCCTTCTGGTGAAAATTTTTGTTTTACATAAAACAATTTAGGGGCCAAAAAGTCAGTATTTGTAAATCCATATATGCAAATGCAAAACAAAAATTCTGTTGAAACAATTTTTTTGGTAATAATGGATTATGTGACACACTGCGGCCTATAATATTCGCCCTTCTGTGTATGAAAATGTTATTTTGGATTAAAAAGCCTAGCAAAAAGTCATAAATATTGATATCAGTTGTCTCGACAATATTATAGAATTATGCATCATCTCACGAAAAAGCCATATTTACTTGGTAAAATATCTAAAAATTTAGAATGTGACCTGAAAGTTTATACCCCCATAAAATATATAATCATTGCATAAAAATCATTGTGTGAATGCAAGACTATAAATATAATTTTCTTGCCCATCATGACAAACTATAATACCATATAGTCAAATTATGTATGAAATTCTATTGAAAAATTTAATTTCAATCCATCAATAAAACTGATTCATAGCTAACATCACTATTCAAAGTTAAACTGATTCAGCTTCAACATTCATTTTCTCAAGAAAACTGATGGGGCAATTCTGCCGTAACAGAGCTCATAAAATAGCTTTGTCATGGCAACACTATCTTATGCTTGTTTTTGGTAGTGAAAATTATGAAAATTTCAATTTATTTGCTGTGCGATCGGGCGTATTTTATATATAAACAAGCAAGAAAAAATCTTATGATGACAGAATCTTCGATGATGCAGTTATCATAAAATTCTGCCCTCCCCTTAAAGATTAGTTGCATTTGCAAAATTCCATATCAATTCTGGAAACTAAAAATAAAATTTATTTAGAACCAGCAAACTGTCCAAAGTAAGAGTAATAGTCTCTTCATTTACTAACATATGGAAGGGTGAATTTAGAATATTATGCACAAATATATATCTGATATATTTACCAGATGATAGTACATAAGGAATGTGTTTGTGATGAAGCAATTTCATAGTTAATTTGAAATCTACCAAAAAACAGAGTCAAAACCAGCATCAGCATCACTATCCAAAATAAAATGATTAATTGTTGTAATAAGTCCAAAACCAGAACTATTCTATTGCAGATTCCAACTTTTACTGAAATTTGTGATCATTTTGGAATATTATAAAGAAAGGTGTCTAAAGACAATGTGCCAATTTATGAAAAACAATAATTGCAACTATGAAATTACATAGTTACTTTGCCATCTACCAATAAAACAGATTCTACTACTATACTATAGTGTTGGCTTCATCTCCTATTGATTTATGTTGTCGGTTTAGAATGTTTTACAGAAAGATGTTTAAAGATATGAATAATATATGTATGATATGACTTAACAATATATGCAGTTTCTTAACATGTATAATGATAATATTCATATGTTTCTCAGAATATATTGTATTTTTCCAAGAACCGGAGACGAATAATGTTTATAAACACTATTTTATGTTTGGCCGATGTTACATCTATATATATATATATATATATATATATATATATATATATAACAGTAAAGTTGACCGACATGACCTTATGGCAAATTCAAATAAAAACTTTCATATTTTAAGTGGTTTTTTATGTATATATGTATTCCGTCTGAGTATGAGCATTATTACAGTCGTACATAAAAATATTCAGCAGCGGTTTATTTGAAAATTCAATTTGTCATGAATTGTGCACACACACGTGTATATATATATGTATATATATATATATATATACAGCATCTAAAAAAAACTAATTTATTCCCCAGTATTTAAATTACCTATAAAGTTTATAAATATAACAAAACTTTTTATTTAACAGTTCCTGAAGAAAGAGGCACTTTCTTCAGGACACGAGATAAGCATCACAATAAATTTGGAAATAGTTCCAATAAAATATTTTTTTTATTCTCTATTTTATTTACGACTGTCCAGTTAAGAACATTTAATAAATTTGGAGAATTTACAATTGTCAGCCGTAAATTGAAAAATTTTAATTTTTTTTTTTAAAAACGTAGTTCAGAAAAATTTAATCTTACATAACACTACTCAGTAGATAAAAAAAGAAAATTATGTATGAAGTTACATAAAATTAACGCCCATAGAAATTTTTAAAAAATGTAATGACGACGTTTAATCAGGGTAAAATATATTTTATATGAAAACTTTTTAAACAAAATAAAACATTCATTTTCATCATTTCTTATTTTCATTTTAAATAGTAGTTTTACTGAAGATGACATGATTATTATGTTATCTTCAATTGGAAAAATAATTATGATGTTAAATATTAAATATAAAGAAAAATACTATAAATAGAAATAGAAATATTACAGATAGATTTTTGTATAATAAAACTCCGAAATTCTTCATAAAAATAAAGGTTTTCCTGAATAGTATGTTATTGAAAATTAGTGAAAAAAAATCGATATATATATATATATATATATATATATATATATATTAATGTATACATAATAATTTTTACATCTGTGTATAATAAAAATAACGTTTGTTTGTGTAAATCTGTTCAATATGACAAAATTCAAATCCACTATTGGGACAGGTTATGGTTTTATCTACTAAATAGTATTATATATATATATATATATATATATATATATATATACTTATAAATACATATATGTGTATATATATCGCATGATTCAAAATATTTAAAAATGAAATATTTGAAAGTAACGCTAACTTAGTTTCTATCACCAATTATAGTATTTTAAAGGAAACTTTTTTAGAAAACCTTTATTTTTGAAAAATTAAGCTTTTCAAATTTTATATATATATATATATATATATATATATACATATAAGTTCCAAATAAATTATTACTACTAAGACTTACCCCAACTAGAGATTGAGTTCTTCATACAAATGTGCTCCATTTCTAAATATTTTTGTTCAAAATAGATAAAGTCCTTCATAATTCAAGGAGCATACAGTATAATGTCCTAAAAATAAATTAAAGTTATTACTTAAAAATAAAATAAACAAATTAATTTATATCTAACTATTTAAAGAAAAATTATATTTAAATATTTATATCTACATTTACCATTTGCCTTTGTCAACAAATCAAGTAGGCTATCACATCGAAACAAAATATATATATTTTTCATGTATCAAGTTTTCTTAAAACAAAACAAAATCATCAACAATATGGAGAAATCATTTTACTTAGATGTTTTAAATTGTGGTGCTTCTAAAAAAAATGAGAAAGCAAGTGAGGTACTGTAAAGAATAGAAAGGACTCTACTGGGCAATTTGTGTGAAATTGAGAAGAAAAGAAAACTGGTATGGACATACACCAGAAAAAACATCGATATCAAATTATTTGGAAGAATCAGAACAAAAAAATGTACGTATGATTACCAGGTAAGTTTTTCTTAAAAAAGGTAAATACAACAAATTGAAAATGTCATAAGATATGTGGTGATAGTATTGTGAAAAGTAAAATGTAAACTATAACCAAATTTCATAAAGGCCAAAGGAGTAGATAAAACATGGCACTTTCACACCAAAAACCTGCAGTAATAATAAGAGCAAGAATACTATTTTCCTCATCATCTTTACAAAATTCATTAGAATTACAAATATTGTATTTTCACCTAGCTCATATGTGACTATGATTGCTGTATTGTAATGTTGAATAACAATATCAGGTGCCACATAATTGCGACGAATTCTTTTAAATAAAGAATTGTTTTCAAATCTGATTCAGATAATTTTAATAAAAACCGTAGGGTAAATTCGTTGTTTTGGTTAGTTTTAATAGTATACGTTTTATAGTAGTATGATTGAACTACTAATAAACTTTAGGCTGTAAATTAGATTTTATACTTATGGAAGTATATCTGTATATTGGGGTGGTGCTTAATATGGATATTTTCGAAGTTCTTAGCTCCCAGAGAATCAAATTCTTTCAAATTAATAAGAAAAATTCTCTGAAAGTTTTAGCTCTTAATATTAACTTTAAGACAGTCCGCACTCCAACCAGTTTATTATGGAAATAATATAGGTAAAATTTCATTTGTTTTTTTTTTTAATTTTAAAACTTAGCGACAAGTTAATAAAAATTGTGAGAATAACATTGTATTTGCTTATTTTGATCATAAATAAAAAATTTACAATAAAAATTTGGTTAGGAAGAAGAGCCAAGAAACTTTGGTTGGAGTGCGGACTATCTCAAAGCTAATATTAAGAGCTAAAACTTTCAGAGATTTTTTTTATCTATTTAGAAGCATTTGAGCCTTTGGGAACAAGGAAATTCAAAAACATCCATATTATGGACCACCTATTGTATATATTTGTAAAGGCCATATATAAAATGTGTTTGAATAGCTGATTAAGGCGAATTTCAAGCATTTTTTTAAATTCATTTATGATTATGTGATAAACTATTATACATGTATTTATCAACTAAAGCTATTATATATCCAAACTAAATTAAATGTATATACGCAATGAATAAATAGTACTCGCAAATTTATTCGTATCACAAATGATCATTTTTATAATAAGCAAGTAGGTTTGAAAGTCAACTAAATATCCCAAGAACAAATTTTACCCAATCCACTCCCCCAAATTTCCATTATCCCCCACTAGATGTCTCGTACGTCCTTCGTCCCACCGCACTCTTCGTTATGCTGTTAACACGATATGACATAGTGAAAATCAGGGCCCCGAGCATACTTACTTGGCGCTCAGGATCCCGTGATCAAGAAGGCGGGTCCTCCGGGGATAGGCTTAGCCATTGCACCTGGGTTAAGCAGATATCCTTGCGATTATCCCTAAAGGGGTACATCGGGCGTGCAATTTTTGGTAGTCGGGACTGCGTACGCGCTGTCCCGGTAAAAAAGTAGTAATTGATAGATGAAACGTTTACACGAGAAGTCGATAGTGTATAAATATATAAGAAAGCTGAGAAATTCTGACTCAAATACAAAGATCCGTAAAAAAGTATAAGGTAACCTCCCAATATCATAAAAGCTCGCTTGCCAAGGAAAACCAACAACTAATTAAATTAAGTCTGAGATTAGGCCAGATTAAAAAAGAAGAAGGATTGTTTCAATTTTAATTTTATTGACAACTCGGGGTAAAGCAGGGCTTAACTAGTTGGTTTGGTATTTTGCCTTAAGGCAAGTTACATGAACTTCCCGATATGTTTAAATAATCGACTTTCAATAAAAAATAAATTAATTTATGAGTGATTTATAAGTATTCCGAGTGGATTTATTACACATAATTGAAAACGAACGAAAACTTTGACTCGGAGTATTTTCTAAAAGCAAATTTTCAAATATCAATAATTTTTATAATTAAACCAGTTTCCAGGACTTTAATGGTTTGCTATGTTCAAGACCAAGTACTCTATCGTTATACCAAGTAGATAGTCTAATTTTAATTTTAACAAATGTCAAAAGAACTACTCATTTTCTCAAATTTTGATGAATTTTTAAAACCAAACTATTTGTCGTAAGGCCGTAATATTTCAGTAAGTTTTATAAGACCATGGTATATGTCGCTAAAAAAAATCCATAAAAATCGGCTTAAATTTTTTTTTCAACAGTTAATTACAAGAAAACGGCTCGGTAGATTTTCACCTAAAACTAATCAGTACCATTCCCAACTAATATCTTTCGAACAGTTTTTGTTTAAAATCGGTTCGGTAGGATGAGCTCAAATGTGGACGAAACGTTTAACACTTTTTTTAAATGGCTTTTAAATTTCTAAAATCGGTTCAGGCGTTTTTGAGAAAACGTCGATCAAAAGTCTAATTTTGACAAATGCCAAAAAGACCATACTGATTTTTGCAAACTTTGACGAATTTTTAAAGCTGAACCAGTTGTCGTAGGGCCGTAATATTTTAGTATGATCTAGAAGACTATGGTATCTATCGTCAAAAAATAATCAAAAAATTGTCGAATTTTTTTTTTTTTTAAACTTTATTACAAGAAAACGGCCCGGCCGATCTCTATCAAAAACTAATCAGCACGATTCCCAACCAATATCTTTCGAACGGTTTTTGAATTTTCAAAATCGATTCAGAATTGCGGGCTAAAACGTAGACGAAAAATTTTTTCACTTTTCTGCCATTTATAAAGAAACGGCTTGACCGATCGTCGCACAAAACTGACAAACAATAGTTCTCGTCGAGATACATCGAATGGCTTTTAAATTTTTGAAATCGACCCAGCCGTTTTCGAGAAAACGTCGATTTACTGCAAAAAATCTGTTCACATACATACACACACACACATACTTTTTCCAAATTTGGTCTCATTCGATTCAGAATGGCTTGAAACGTCGAGAAAACATAAAATTAGCGAATCGGATTTTTTGATGAAAACATAAAGTTCTTCGGGAAGTTAAAAAGTCCACCACCGATATCTTAAAACCAAGTTTTGTTAGAAATTTGTTAACAATAATCAACCCTCACTTTTGGCTTTTTAAAGTAAAACTTCTTTAGACGCAACTAGGAATTAAATCTGTGAAAATACAACGGAAATTGCCTTACGCCGGAACTGTTCGTCATTCGCTCTCTATGAAATCATTTCAATACGGGTCGATTGTGATTAGTCGTCGTGTATGTGAATAGAGATCTGTCGTTATATGCATACCGGCATCTACGTTTTATGCAGTGGTTTATGGTCTACATGGTTTAACCTATATTAATAAAATATTATTTATTACTAACCTAAAACAATCTGCTAATTTTTTGTTGCTGCTTTTTTAGCGTCTCATATCATTCTGAATCGTTTTGAAACTGAAATTGCAAAATGTGTGTGTGTGTGGTAAATCAAAATTTGACTTTTTCTTTATAACCGCTGCTCCGATTTCAAAAGTTTTAAATCCATTTGAACAAACTCTATATTTAAAGATTTAGCAAAGACAATAAAAAAATATTTTAACATATAGTTAGTTTTTATAAATTTGTTAGAAATGTATTTTTATTGTTGGCAAAATTATTTTATGTAATTTCTACTTCTCAAAAATAGTTGATGTTAATGAACTTCAGTTTAAAATAGCAACTCCATGTCTAGGGTATTAAAAATATAGGTTTGTATGTCACAAATCATCTGAGATTTCCGCAAATCTCAAAATTACATTTCTTTATAAACAAAAACAGTGTGAATGACCATCTCGTAATAAGTTTATTTTTCACAAAATGAAATTCTACGCTTTCTGTCTGGATAATTACGTATTAATTATGGTTTTGAATATCCATTTTAAATGGCTACTAGACTGTAATACTATACTTTTATCAAATGAGCTTGCATTAAAAATATTAAGCTTCAAAATATTAGAAGGACATGTAATCGCCTTTGTATTCTTTTTTACAAAAATATATGAGACTATAACTACATTTTTCAACTAAATGTGGAAACTTATTTGCTACTGTACAAAGCAGAAAATTTAAGTTAAGTAAAAATAAATACATAATATAATAATTTTGAATAATGTTTATTAGTAATATGGTAACACTCGTGATGCACACATTTATTAGTGTCAACCATTATACACATACACATACATCGTTTTTTTCTAAGATATGCCAAAATGTTCAGAAACGTTTGAAACGTAAATATATGCAAACGTTTTTATTTTCGTATTCGGCAATAAGTTATCAATGTAAAATGTAAACTGCCAAATTTTTCGTTCAATATTCAAAATATTAAATCAGTTTATCATTTTTCTTTAAAGTCCTAATCCATTAATTTACATTCTGATTTGCTTATTATCATACAACAACATTGACCCATTTATGCATTACCGGCAACTGGAACAAATTTAAATTATCATTTTAATGTATTTTTATTACATTAACTTTACGTATAAGTTATCCTGTTGCAAAATACGTGACGACGATAAATAAAAGAATTGATAATTTAAAGGTATATAACATTACATTCTTTGAACTTTGACAATAGTTGACTTAAGTGCTTAGGCGAGTTAAAATAGAAGTTTATTTGAATAAATTTTAAGTCTAATACTAGAATTTGTGAGTTTGCAATGTTTATCTTCCAAAAGTTTTTGTTTATTGTCATAATGTGTGGTGTGAGCCAAGCCTACAAACGTGGACAGCAAATAACTCCTCCAGAACCAGAACATACAGGGTACTATGTTTCTGAACAAACAGCTAAAGAAATAGGTACTGATTTTGTTTTTTACTTGTGGTGTATAGATTTGTACAGCCAAACAGCCAAAGCTTAAATTAGGTAAGAATCTCGGAATTCGAGATAGCCAGATGTAAGTCTTTAAATACTTGTATATTGACACCCTAAAAGTTGTCTCAAAACCTACATATGGTATTGACATCCTACCATCAACATCTATAAGCTTCTTATACAATTTTTAGATTGTCTTATAACAGATGTTTACTAAAATTCTCTTCTACCAGATGAAATATTGCCTCAGTTTCATATTAAATAGATTTGTACTAAATCCATCTAATGCAATTCCTATCATGTTCCGCATCTTCTGTCGATACTTTCTTGAAAATACCAAATTATTTTTTATGTTTGCAGAAAATAAGGTTTCAACCTGGGATCCATCCAAAGACGAAAATGCCTGGGAAATGAGCGGCTTGATCGAAGGAGATATTTTACCGCCTTCTGGTGATCTAGGCAAAAATGGTCTACGTGGTGATAAATACAGATGGAAGGATGGAATTGTACCTTATTTTATAACGGAACTAGAATTCAGTAAATAATTATAACTAGAAAACAACACTGTTAAAAAACCCATTTTATTAATATTTATTTTACAGGTGATGAAAATATAGAAAAAGTATTGGATGCCATCCAGGAATATCATAACAAAACGTGTATTCGATTCCGTCCGTTCAGATTAACGGACCGTGATTTCATTATGGTAAGCCTACTTCTTATGATTCATCTTGGTAAAAAAAATCTAAAAAAATGGACGACAAACTCAACCATAAAAATCATAATTGACGTTGGCTAATAGACGTAATTCCCATCAAGATCAGAATGGATTGCCTTATGATATCTAGAATTCTTTTTGTAAAATGTTTGGTTAAAATTATCCAAGGATAAATTGTCCACTACCATAGACAACTAAAGTATTCAACATCCTCAATTCCTTGTCCCCTAATTTTAGTTTATATTTCTTTCAGATCCGAAGTAGCAGACCAGGCTGCTGGTCTTCAGTAGGAAGACAATCAGGAGGCCAGGTTGTCAATTTACAAGTTCCTGGTTGCAATCATCGTGGTATTATCATTCACGAATTCTTACATGCTCTTGGATTCTTCCATCAACAAAGTGCTGCTGATAGAGATGATCATGTCAAAATACACTGGGAAAATATTCAGGAAGGTAAGAAGCAATAATGCCCCTAAAACCCAAACAAAGAACTTTAAAGAACAACAAAATTGAAACAATTGAATTCTTTTAGGTAGAGAAAATAATTTTGAAAAATACAACGACACTGTTGTGACCAGCTATGAGCAAGTATACGATTATACAAGTATCATGCATTATAGTTCGAAGGCATTTTCCAAAAATGGTGAAGTTACTATAGAACCTTTGGTAAGCTGAACCGTGTTAAAGTAATTAACGTGATTAAGATGATAATTCATCTGATTATTTATTGGAATGTTTGTATTTGATTTTCTAGCAAGCTGAAGCCAAAATAGGACAAAGAGATCATTTAAGTGATGCAGATATCGCAAAATTAAATGCCATGTACAAAACCGAATGTGAAAATCGCGAAAATAATCCTGAACCTGAATTTTCGCTGACTTCCTGGTTATTTCAATAATGGATTCGTATTTTGGAAAAAACAACATCAACCCTCACCGTTTTGAAAAACATACGAATCCAGAAGTGATATATGCACATATAGTAAAATAAGAAGTCATTATTCAATATTGATCATAAATAATTAATTTATAAAAAATGTACAAACTTGCATTAAATATATAAAATAAGCAATTATTTTGAAATGTTTCATTTTTTTTTTTCAGATATAAAAGTAATATAAATTTAAATTATAATAATATAAAAGTAATATAAATACAAATTTAAATTAGACTCATATTTGATGGTTTGAGATATTATTATTATTAACATCTCGTAGGATAAGTTCTAGTAATCGAAAAAAATCGAAAATGCAAATATTTTACATATCTTTACGTTTCAAAGATTTCTGAACATTTTGCATACCCCATAGAAAATGATTTATATGTGGACGTGTGTTTTTATTTCGAGAGCACGGATTAACCGATTTGAATGATTCAAAAATCAATTTGTATTGATGAGGAGACGTGTTGATTAGTTTTTTGCAAAGGCAGGTCCAGTTGTTCCAAAAAAATAAAATATAGGGAAAAATTGGTAATTTTGAGAGAACAGAGTATACTACTTGAATGACTCAAAAAAAATTACACTGACGTTTTCAAAAAATCTCAAAATGTTGAAAAATTTCCAAAAATTTAAAATTTCTCAAAAATCTAACTTTTTCAAAGTTTGAAAAAAAGTAATATTTTTTTAAAAAATATTGATTTTTGGCACGGGAAGTTCCAGCAATTTCCCTCAAGGCACGATTTCCATGTACCACTAATTTTTTCAAAATATTCAAAAAAAACAATTTTCCAAAAAAATCATTCATGACTCACTGCTGTGTGCCAAAGCCCTTATAAACAAATCCATAGAGAAAATATGTTACGTGAGATGGTCTATACAAAAGCGTTGTGATCATCTATGGTGTGTCCCTAACAAAATGGCAGATGCCGCTTAGTTGTCGCTTGACATTTCATTATTTACATGCTTAGGAAACTATATATGTACGTATTTAAATAACAAAGATCGATTTTGTGTGGTCCAGTTCACTAAACCGTGTATACTATTTAGTTCACCATATTTACTAACAATAAATCATACATAGATCATTATTCGTGACATTTAATTATATCGAAACGACTAGATTGTTTTTTGATTAAAGTTATTATTTTTTATATTCTACTTATTGAAACAGACGAAAGGAAAAATTGGTAGAAAACCCGACATGGCAAAGAGGCCGGCTGAAGATCCCGGAGGCTCCGGGCTTCCTCCCATAAAAAAGGTTCAGTTTGAACCTCATTTAATAGGCCCTATATCTACCTTGGAAGAAATGGATATCAAAGTACTGCAATTTCAAAATAAAAAGCTAGCACAGGTAACTTATTTGTTCAAATAAAGTAAACAAATCTTTTAATTCAATAAAAGTTGCTCATATGATCACTTACATTTTTCTCAGCGTATTGAACAAAGGCATAGATCAGAAGCTGAATTGCGGCAAAGAATAGAACAGTTAGAAAAAAGACAAACGCAAGATGATGCTGTTTTGAACGTTGTGAACAGATATTGGAATCAGTTAAATGAGGATATAAGAGTATTGTTACAAAGATTTGATGCCGAAACAGCAGATGAATTAGAAAATAAAAGTAACCAACATTTCATTTTGTCCACATTTACTTTTGGTACATACATCAATAAATTTAATATGTTTACAGATGAAAATGAGGCTACTACATCTTTCTTGATGCAATTATCGACTTGGGACAAAGAAGAATTAGATGATAAACTTGCAAATCGTGTTCAAGTATCAAAGCGTGCTGTGGCAAAAATTGTACAAGTATTTGATAGGTTGATGCAGAGAAATGAAAAGATCACACTTGCATTGAAAGAGGAAGAAGGTGCAGGTAAAGATGAACTTTCATTATTAAATATTTTATATGATCTTATCTGAAATAATTTATAATATGAAATGTACTTTACAGCTAATCTTGATGAGACATTACAACAAGCTTTTATGGATGTACAGGCAGAAAATAGAAATCTACAATCTTTAAATACATCATTGCACGAGAAACATCATATAATGTGCTTAAAAACATCAGAACTTCAGGATTCTGTTACAGGCAAAGATACTGAAGCGGCAGAACTGAGGAATCAAATTGATGATCTTCAGTATGAGTTACAGAAGGTTTGTATTTTTAATAAAACTAAGCACCTGATGTCATTCTAATAATTCTATGAATATTTGTAGGTGCGATCACGAAATGACAAATTAGAAAATCATTTAGCAGAAGCCATAGAAAAATTGAAGACTTATCATCAATTGCATGGTGATAGTGATAAATCTTCAAATGCAGGTTAGATAAATAGTAATATTTTAAGAAATCATTATGTTATTCGTTATAAGTTTCTTTATTTATTATTATCTCATGTTTAAAGGTAAAGGTGTTGTAACAACTAATGTGGCAGCTTCTCAATTAGAAGATTTACACAAGGAATTAGAAGAATATAGGGAATTGGCAAACAATCGTCTACAAGAACTTGATAAACTTCATCAGCAGCACAGAGATTCATTGAAAGAAGTTGAGAAGCTAAAAATGGATGTATGTCCCCATTTTTACTTAATAGAATCAGATATATTTTTCAGAATTGACTTGAAACCTGAATTTTTCAGATAAGACAATTACCAGAATCGGTTATTGTCGAAACAACAGAATATAAGTGTCTACAATCCCAATTTTCTGTTTTATATAATGAATCTATGCAAATCAAGACAGTATTAGATGAAACCAGAGTGCAATTACAAACCTGCAAAATCAACATCTGAGACAGATAGAAATGATGGAGGTATGTATAAATTACATTCATCATTTATATCTATTATTTCTTACATATATATTTAATAGAGTGAAGAATTAATAGCGCAAAAGAAATTAAGAGGAGAGATGATTCAACTGGAGGATGTTTTAGCACAACTTCGAAAAGAATATGAAATGCTGAGAATTGAATTTGAGCAAAACTTGGCAGCAAATGAACAACTGGACCATAAATAGAGAAATGAGGCATTTAATCACTTCTTTACAAAACCACAATGGTCATTAAGGGCGAAGTGCAACGTTATAAAAGAAAATATAAAGATGCCAATGCTGAAATACCTAAGGTAATATATATATATATATAT